TTTTTTTTATCTTTACATAAAAAAACAAAGAGAATATATATATATATATATATATATATATATATATATATATATATATATAAAGAATCTTTTTTTTTTATTTGTATTAATATACGATGTAAAATTATTGGAAATGTTTCCATAGTATTGTATTATGGCGCAATATCATATAATCTTAAGTTTAAAATTCATTAGTAAAATATCTTTTTTTTTCAAAGGACCTATTACATTTTATGAAACCATAATTAGTTACTACATTATATTTTACTTACATTAATAAATTTAGTTATTAAGATAATTATTGTAATTTTTATTTAATTTCTTTTATGAAATGCACTTCTGATATAATCAAAGGAAATATTAAAACAGTATCATATATAGTCAATATATATGATAAATAGGATGATATATGTTATTAAGTGCTATAATATACTTTATTTTTATTTTACTTCACACTAAATTCACTTGAATTAATAAAATAGCTTTATAATCTATAATTATATATAGAACGTATATAGAACGTATATAGAAATATATAGAACGTATCACAATTAATTTTATACCTGTTCATTCAAATATGTTTTATCAATAATAAATTTTAAATGGAATAATATAATATAAAAATGTAGATTAAGAACATTTTTGTTTAGAGTTTTAAGTGTTAAACATAATAAAGCTTTTTAACTACATTTTTAAATACATATTTTTATAATATCGTTAATGTTTTTGAAATACTCTATTTCATTACTTCGACAAAAGTACTTTTAAAACTCATCCAAAAAATAAACCTTGTAGAAGTTGTTACATATATACATCAATATGATCACGATTTCGGATTACTATTTTACTTTATTAAATGTTAATAATATAAAAGTGTTATTAAAATAAGTGAAAGAATTTAGTCAATATTAATAAAGTATCATAGCTGTGTATAAAATTGCAAATAGGCGGAGGAAATGAAATCGTGTATTTTAACGTAGCTGAACTCCTATTTTGATTTATCTGAAAACAAAGAAAAAATAAGAAAATTAAATTAAATGTTAACAGAACAATCTATTTAGGATCACTGTATTATTAAAGGATAACTACGTTACTTTCACTACCTGTTGTTTTATATGTGTTAGTCGTCCTTGGGCTCGATTACGCAATCACCACTCACTGACGCCATCTTGGGTGTAGCGGGCAGCTGAAAAGTGGCTGCCCACGCGAATACAACTACTTCCACAGCCTCGAGTTTCATTCAGCTGTCCAAGGTCATGAGTTCCGCGAGTTCAATTACATAAATTCGCTCATTTAACGTAACCCTACTCATCCGACACTTGTTTTATGTTCTGGACCCGAAACGTATATTTTATGCTCCATGTGTTCTTTTTTTTATTTGCCGTTATTTCTTTTGTTATATCTTCTTTTTCAATTTTTTATGTTGCTTCCTCGAATATTAAAAACGTATGATGCGTTGAATTTTCAATATTGCTTAAAAGAATATGGATTCATGACTCGTGGGCCAAAGATATTTGGGGATGTATTTGTGCTTAGTGAAGGTCAAAACTGCACATATTTATTTTAAGAATTAAGCAGCAGATAGATCAACATTTACCTCGGCATGTGCAAGAAAATTTTTATTTTTTACATTTGGATAACCAAATTATTCTCGGTGCTAATGCTGTAAAATTGATTTTTGTTGATAAATTAATTATCTCATTGGTACCAGTGATATCCGTTTTATATGTAAGATTTTTTTAAATGTTAAATTGTAAATCATTCAAAAAATTTGATCTCAAGAATATTTTAGATAAATTATTAATAATTATTCTAACGAATTTTATATATTATGAGATACGGCATAATTTCATGAGAATCTTCATCTTAATATTGAGTATAGTGTAAAATACAATACAATTTATTTATTATTTTAAGTATATTTCTAAAAAATTATTTATGAAATTATAAAAATTATAATTAAATTATATTAAATTTATTTAAAAATAAAAATATCAAGATCAAGTAGCTTAATATTAATATTAGTTTAATATTTTGATATTATACTCTTAAGATAAATTGAGCTTTCTTGAAATAGAAATTAAAATATTTTATGTTTGTTAAAAACAAGTATAAATAGAAAATATTAAATAAATTACATTTAGTTACATCATCTCAGCCATATTATTTCCTATTGTAATTCTTTTTATTCTTTTTTTATTTATACTATTTTTTATTATACTATGATATGAAGTGAGAAAAACGAATATAAAGTATAAGTATTATAAAAAAATAGAAATATTTTTCAAAAGTTTGAAATATATTTTATTTAATTTTTATTAATATTTTATAATTATTTGTCATATTTAACTGTGATTATTATTCATAATAGTATTTTATCCATTTATTATATTTATAAACAGAATTTTTATAGGTTGATTAACATGTACGTTTATTCATTAGTTTTCATAAAAATAGAATTTTGCAATCGCTTAAGTTTAATTTTCTAATTTGTACATCCTGTATTTTTTATGGCTGTATAAACCATTGACAGATTATTTGAGTTCATTTAACAAAATTGAACACATTTAATAAATATTTATTTTATTATCAAAAATATAAATAGTTTGAATTTTAAAAACTTTTTTAAACATTTGCATAATTATAAAATCAATGACATAATACGTGTATATTTCAATTCAATATACAATATAATATGATAAATTATATATTTGTCATTGAGTAATATATTATTAAAATATTTTTCATTTATAAATATATTCATATAAACTTAAATTAAAAATAGTTTACTTTTATTTAAAATACCGAAACATGTATTCAAATTCAACAAATGTTTAATGTATAAAAAAAAATCTTGCCATTACAATTTCATAAATATATCAGAGAAATTCAAATTATACATCTATACTATAAGATAAGCTAATCGTTAAAATAGCGCGATAAAATTTTATAATTTACTAGTGGCATTTAGTTATCAGTTAAATGAATTTGACATGGGAAATAAAAATATCTGTCTATAGGAGGCATTAATATATTTGACAAAAAAATAGAGCATCGCAAATAAATACGAAACAACCGTGCAGTAAGGCTTAATATATTAACTGCAACACTCTATTAAAAAAAATTTATTTACCTCATGTGTAGGCCTTATTGATGTAATAGCATTTCCTATTCTTCACTCTAATCGTTCTTCACATCATCGTTCCTCCTTTTTAAAGTTAACATTGTTCATTTAAGCATGTGACATTCTTGCATTCGTTCAAAAATGCAGTCATTAGGATATTATAAAAATTACAATATCTGTGATAATTGTTTTTAGTAATGCATTAACACTCATTAAGATGTAAACGCAATGATGTAACAATTTCATTTTTGTCGCCCTGATCCAATGGAAAGAAGAGAGTAATAAATACGATGATGTTTTGTTAGATAACATTAAAGGAAAGCTATTCATTACTAAAAGTTACACATTGTATATAATGTTTTTTAAATGCTTAGTTTATTTTCCATTTTTGTCTTATTAGAAATCATACTACAATATTGGCAGTTTTTATTACAGGGAAGACCGTAGTACACTATATTAAGAAGTTGTTATATATTTTATAATAAAAAAAGACTTATGCATAAATGCTTTATAATGACTTATAAATGATTTCTTAATGCAAATGTAAATTACAATTTATGGAAGATAAGCATTGTTTGAAAATATGAAATTAACACAAATTCGCAAAGTAAATCGTTTATCTGTAAATATTTTTTTCTGTTTTGAATAAATGGAAGTTAAAAATGATTGGTAAATACTCGGTGGTGGATATTCTATTATTCCAATAATACAAAATTATATAAATTAATAATTACGCAATAATTATACTTAAATTCGTTACTCAATGAAAACGTGAGTTTCTCATTCATCCTTATCTTTTATATTTATCTTGTTTTTAAATTCTTATTCCTTCTTTAGGAACTCTGACCTGTATCTTATAAGCATTCTGTTGTTTTATTTTATTATTAGAAAAATGTTGATATCTCATCTGTTCAATAAATAAGAGAGTTATAAAAGGAATAATGAAGTTGATTGGGAAGGAGAAAAGAGAAAAGAAAACGTCTTGAAAGGTGTCGAATGATTTTCGAGAGGCCATTTGTGCACTGCTATGTTGAATTTTCCGAAACTCCTAGAAGGCGAGTTTTTTCATTAAAAGATACATGTGCTGGTCGATTTCAAAGCCGTGAAGATTATTGGCGTCACCTTGCAGCCGCATCAGCAGTCCACCGAATGATACATAGGCCGATCTGTAAAAGAAAGAACGACTTTTAAGTTAATATTTAAATCACGTACCCTAAAATTATTATTACTTCTTTATAAAAATCAGAAAATGTTGAAATTGATAAGAGACTAAATAGATTAGTATTTTCAATTTTACAATTAATTTTAAAATTATTTGACGTACAAGACTGAAATATTAAATGCCTATGCTTTAAATATAGAGTGAAGTAAAATAAATTCATGCAACAAGTATGCATAACTGAAAGAAATATGGAGCATTATCATTGCTATGAGAATAATGCCAATTTCATTCCATTCACTAGAGTAACATTATATCATATAACATGTATTAACATCATTTATGCAATATATAATCAAACTACTTATTATCAACAATGTAAGGATCATTTAATTTTCTTTTAATACAAAATTTTTCTATCTTTGTAGACTTTTTAAATATTTGAAAAGTTATGAATAGTGAAGTACAAAGAGCTGTTTGATTTATTTCAATTGCTCAGTTATTTCTATTTCTTATTCATTGTGAAGTATAATTGGATAAAATATTAGAATTTAAAGTATTATATATATTTTTAATGAAAAACAAAAAATCTAATATACATGAATATCATCGATTAATATAAATCATATATATATATATATATATATATATATAATCATTACTCTGTTAGTACAAAATAATTTAATTTGAATAAATTCTTACATATATAAATTATTGTAATCTAAACTTTAGTACTCTAATCTATTTTATACATAAAAGTTTAACGAATACGTAATTAACATAAATAATTTCTACATTCGTTCGTTAATGAATGTTAATTTATTTTACTTCCATGTTTCTTGAATGATTTACTAGTAATTTTATAATCATTATTCTGGTTTAAAACTCAGTTATTTAAATTTTTTTCTGTTAATGACCATCTTCGAAAATATACAAGAATAATTAAAGTTAACATATTTAATATATTTATAATACTGTACAATCTGTTGATCACGTACAAACAAAGGGTTTCAACATAGAATGCGTTGATTCGCAACTGTCATAATTGCAGTGTCGATAGCGGTCGTGCTTTTTAAAAATTACACAACCAGCTAACCACACTGCCAACATGCCAATCGCTTCTCTTAAATGCAATCAAAGGCAATGATTTAATACTCAGTGATGAGAATCATTCCTTTTGGCCTTCAATTTTTTTCGTCGATGAGAACATTATATTCGCTACTTGATGCAATATGCATACAGAAAATTGGAAAAATATGCACAATGCTCTCCTAAAATGATCAATAACTTTTTGTATTTAAATAATACTTTGAAAAGCTTTTGAAAATTTTGGATCTTGAACATCAGGGGTCATTTGAATTATATAAACATTGAATAATAAATTAAATTGATTATTTTATTACGTTTGATGGAAGTAACCAATTATGGAACATCATTGAATAGGACTGAATTATGAATATATACCAAATTTTTACCAATCTTAACTATAATATAATATATATATATATATTATTTTTCTAAGAATTTCTTAATGACATGGTTTTTATTAATTTTCCAATAACGTAGAGCTTAATTTGCTGTCTATAAGATTAAATAAGAGTGTTTTAATTGTTTATTTTAAAAAAGTGAAGTAAAAAAAAATTAAAATATAAAGACAAATCATCATTTTATCTTAACGTCACTTTGTGAACAAAAAAAATTTTTTTAATCGCACCAAACTATTTGAATTTTCACACTCTTCGTACACTAATGAAGCAAATATGATGAAGAACAGCAAAACAATGTAAATGTTATTGCCATAATTCTATAATGAAACTGTCGTAGTGTAGTCATTCATAGATGATGAAAAAAAGAGTAGAGAATGAAGAGCAAACGCAATTTGAATTCAGCCTCACGAGAACTTACGAAGAGTTGCGCAGTTATAGTACATTATTGGGACTGTCGTGCGTGGCTATAATAGAAGTGGGAAAGTCGAAGTAAAACGATTGCTGGGAATCGACTGAAAGATGCAAGACGAGTGGTTTCATCGGGGACGGCTGTAAGTGGGCGGTTTTCGCGAAGTTCACGGGTATCGCGTCGTGACTCCTCAACGATTGGCGGAATTTCTAGATCCTATTTTTGGGTGCCCCTCCTTCCCGCTATCCTTACCCGCTCGAACCCCGCACACTTCTTAGTTAAAACTATTGCAAACACGTGACAATGCGTATACAGACCTTAAACTTAAAACATGTATCAATCATTAACGCACGTTGTTCTTTCACGACTGCATCTGATTTTTTAAATATCATCCAACGCATTCAACCGGATGTTTCCTCCTATGCCTACTGCAGTGGAACAAACATAAATCTCTTAACGTTTGCCATTACTCCTGAGTTTATTACTGTATTTTATAAAAATGTGTCTTTTAGTTCTTTCATTAACTACAGGGAGAGAGCTCGATAAAATTTATATAATTTTATCAAAAAAATTTCATTAAAATGACTGTAATACTCAAAAAGCAAGTGAAGTATGCTTAAAACAAACGAAAAATGTTCTGACTGCATGAATTACTCAAGAGGTTTGAAAATAAATGTTGATGTTGCTTCATGTCGATATTCAATAAGATACGCCGAGTTCTTGAGGTACGATTAACTGATAAGCAGATTTAGCAAGCTCTGAATTCTATCTCGTTAGAAAACCTAAACTTTCTTGTAAGCGTGAGTATTAAAGCAAAATAGCAAAATGCGTATCGTGAAACGTCATTTGTGTTAAGTTCATAGTTCGCCGAGAAAGAAAGAATTTCTGCTTTTTCAAGGCGATTCGAAAGGGACTTCCGGTCAAGTACAGCGTTATATTTCAATTGGCGATTGTGGGGTGTTTTGAGTTCCGCAACTGGTTAGATAAGTCGATTGGAAAAATTCAATTCACAACGACAGAGATATTGCCCCACTCATTTGGGACCACTCAACAGTGCATATTTTATCTTCTATCTTTCTCTCTTTTTAACTTTCCATATTTTTTTTTGCAAAATAACTACAACTTCAATTTATAAGATAAGAATTTTTTCATTACTAATTCATTGGGATCAGTTAATTTTGTTCGCTTCTTTTTTCTTTCATATAACGTAATGTAATTGTTACTTAAGTCTGGATTATCACTTGCGAATTTAAAAGTAAGTAATAAGATCGTATCTAAATATGTAAATAGTAATATTACAAATTGATTTTTACAGAAAAAATAAATTTAATTTGTGGCGGAACTTGCCAAAAATATTATTACTTATTATATTATTTACTATAGACTGAAAAAAATTTATTTAAAAAAATTAATCAAAATAACTAATACTCTTTACAACGGAGCCAACTGACTTGCATTTTATATTTAAATACTAATAAAGTCGCTTTAATGCTTTGCTATATAATTAAACATTTACAAGTGAAATAATTTTTAAAAAGAAATGGATTACAATGAAAACTTTAGTATATATAAAATTATATCAATTGATCAATAACTAAATGAAGAAATTAACCTTCATTACACTTGGCGAATAATAGAAAATTTTTACAATTTATATAATACTGTGCCATGAATATGCTTGCATTGTGCACGCAGAGCTTACTCGGTTATCACGAGGAATTTGCAAGGACAAGGTAAATGCAGAGGGAAGCGACAAAAAAATTAATTTAGAACTTGACCTAGCTTTTTACTACTTGCAAATAGTCGCCTGTCGCTTCTACAGAAAGTCTGAAGAAATGTATGAGTAAAAAGAAAATTTACATGACCTTCATATGTTGAATATCAAGATGTATTTGCGCTTATTTGTTTTTCATACAAAATAAGCATCTATTCACGTATCCAAGCATTTCCATATCTCCCTGTCAATGTCGAATTTCTTTCCTATGTATTTTTATAGATTTTAGGATAAAAACAATTATTTTTATTATGTTATTTTTTAACATCCATAGTAATATAGAGTCTTACTTAGTTAGTCTTATCTTAGTCTTACTTAGTCTTACAGTCTTACTTACGCGACTTTGTTTCACTAAAAATCGACAAATAATATTAATATTTGTGCGCTTTTTATCATAAACTCAAAATATTGGTCCATTAGTTTTTTCAAGTCTCTTTTGGCCTTGAATACATTGATAATATTTATGATAACATCAAAAGTATTGACGATAGCAATGATCGAACTTCTGTTGTCTATTGTTAGTCAATATTTCTTTATATAATTCCTTATTTATGACTTGTTATATAATTCTTTATAAGCAAAAATCGATGATAAAAAATGTTAAAAATCAAGACAATTTTCATTATAATACAATGATTAGATTGTAACAGTGAACATGAATGTTGTTAGTTTTCAATTCATATTATAACTAAATACTGTTACAAACACTTTTTGCAAAATGCAATTTAATATTCACTTTACTTGAATTTTATTTTAATTTATTTGTTTTTGATAAAAAACTATGTTGATTGAAAAGTAAATTGAAATCTATTACTAAAAAAAAGTCTGATCAATTAATATAAAAAATATTTTTTTCTTTAGGGAATTATTTTACTATGAATATTTTGTATTTTATAATAATGAATTACTTAGTTGAATAAATTTACTACAATTATTATTATAAGCATATTCAGCTTATAATATGAAAGAATTAATAAATGTAAGATCCAAAATCAAATAGATATATCAAATATTTTTTCAGTTGTGTTTATACATATATTTTATTTAAATTATATGAAAAATAGGAAAAATATGAAATGGAGATGTAAGAAACTAAAATGTAACGGAACATTATGAATTTATTTTTTATTATACATAAGGCTATAATCTTATTGCACTATAAAAATGAATCGCAAGACAATGGATTCGTAAATACATTGAAAAAAAAATCATAAGTGAGCATATTGCTTTATGAATATATTGCTTTATGAATAACAAGCTTTTTAGATAGTTTCGCATTCTTATATTAACGCCTACATATTTTACAACTGATATAATCATTCTATCAGTGCTTCGTA